CGAGTAAACCTTACGACCTCGTTTTAGCTAGATATGAAACAAAGTTTTCTTTATTAAATTTGCATATTGTATGTTCTTTTTTGTTGAGGATTGATAAAGTTTTTTTTATATTAAGATGGTAGACAGCGCAGATGACTTAGGTCGCTTTCGGTGCCTCTGAAATAGTCTCGATTGATTTCAAAATATATAGGTATGTGTGTCTTAAAGGGTAGGAGATAACGCTCAGTGTGTCATGTCTTCGGTGTTGTTACAAGGACATCGCGTTGTAAATTACATCGAACTACATACCCGTTTAAATGCCCGAAAGGGTAGGCAGATACGTTTTATCAATTATGATTTAGTTCAAATTATGTAACAGGGGCGAAACATTTCAAAATTAATCGGGTAAATTGCAAATTTTCTGGCTTGGCTCTTCTTCAAAATAGGTTGAAATTCTCTTGTTCCCTCAGCGTATATATGCCTACATATTCTAGTGATAACCTCATTGAATTTACGCAGTGCATAAGTGAAATCAATGCGATAATAAAAACCCTAAATGTGGAATGTGTATACGTGTTGGGTGACTTCAATGTGCATCCCGGTGAGTCATTCTATATGGAACTAATAAACTGTTGCAGTCGTGGTCTTGTTTGGATACTGAGCTATTACCGGCGGACACTTATACCTACTCGTATATGAGTGAGGCTCATGGGTGCAGGCGCTGGCTGGATCACTGTGTAGTGTCGAGCGCGGCTCGGTTATCTATTGCAAACATGTCTGTAGTATAGTAGTCGGTAGTGTAGTGGTACTTGTGATAGAGTAAGGTGGGGTGAGTCAGATCAATAGGTACCGTGAATGATAGATAAAAATTGATCGATTTTGATATAAATTTCAATTATTGTTGTGATGGTAAGTGCACGTACATATATCATACAAAATTATTAGTTAAAATGTATGATAATGTAGTTTGTATTCTCAAGTCTGCCGAGTGTACCTGTGTATCTAATAAAAAACTAGGGTAAAATATTTAACCGGTTGGACCAGACACGTGCGGGTGGCTCACGCAGAGGCTTGACTGTGTTTTCAAACCTGGGTATAGTTGGGTGTGCTTCCAGAAATATTTTTAAGTTTAAATTGAAATGGTGTCAGAAGAACCAGCAACAGATTAAAATGGACATTATTACTCAAAATCAAACTAAGAAAAAAATCGGTGACTTCTGAAAGCAGACACACAGGTTAAATCCCAGGATAGTGAGAGTACCGGTGAGTGTGGCTGGTGCACACAGGCCGAGTGAGATTGCGAATGTATTTAGGCATGAAACGATGCTAGAGTTCACCACTGGGTCCTGTCTCTCGGGTGCCTGGTGCTGGGAGTTTAAGGTGTTCAGAGCGAGTCCCAAGACCGTATACTGTCCTTCCAGAAATCTCGCGCTGTGACTCACCTTTAACTCGCGTCGATCAATTTAAGGACCTGGGACGTTGGGTCACGGAGGATTTAAAAGATAACGTTGACATTAACAAAGAGCGCAGGTTGTTTGGCTGTCCGGTGTAATATGCTCGCCCGCAGGTTTTCACGTTATACTAAACAAGTGAATGTAACGCTTTTTAAAGCATACAGTCAGTCCTTTTACACGTGCAGCCTGTGGTTGAGTTTTATGCGTCGGGTATACGGCGACCCGTGAGTCCAATATAACAATGCTTCAGGATAGGGCTGCCGAGACACTGCAGTGCCTCCAGAATGCATGCTGAGGAGTGTGTCGACGAATTCCCTACCATAATAAGAAAGCGATGTGCGTCCTTATTAAGTCGCGCGAGAGGCAGTGCTAACGGCATTCTGGACGCTTTATCAAACCGGTGGGATTACCCCCTATTTAATAGGAGGTAGAGCTAGACACAGTTAAAACCAATGTATTTAAATTATATTATGTATCATATCATCATCATAATATCATATCACATTAGTCTAGTAAATGTTTAAAATGTGATTTTTAATTCTTTAATTAATAATAATAATATATCTCACATATCTCACATACGGCCGTCTGATCCCTAACTAGACAGAACCTGTACTATGGTAACCAGACTGCTGATGAACATACTTATATATTTTAAAATAGATACATGTTATAGATAAACTACACCCAGACACAGAACAAATGACCGAGCTCATAACACAATATTTGTCCTGGGTGTGAATCGAACCCACGACCTCCGGTTTAGCAGTCAAGGTCACTAACCACCAGACCAACAGGTCTGTCAAGATATGTAATAGCAAATTATTTATTTTATATTAATTTATTTAATTTTTAGGAGCACTATCGTTACAGGCTTACCCTTATGTAACATTGGTGCTAATTCTGTTTTTCGAAATCTCTCTAAACTAAACTAAAAATCACTAAACATTTGTTTAGTCCTGCCAACAACGTTTCGTATTCTGAAAACGTAGTACTTAATAGGACTAAATTGCTGAAACAGCGCCTACTAAATTATTAAATGTTTATAGTTAAAGATACAGACATCCATAATCCAAAAATAACAGATATATTTTCTCTTCCTTTTTTGTGTTTTTGTAATTATTTGTTTTGAGAAGGTTCCGGTAGATCGTGATTGTTAACCATTTTCCGTAATACAAAGATGAACTATAAATAGAAGGAGAAGGAAAAAGGTTTTAAGTCTTCCAAGCTTATCAAAGTGTTCATTGGCAAAATCAGATAAACTGGCATTGAAAATTTAAAAAAGACGACAAAAGAGGCACAATTGGAACTTCTGAAAGACTCTGTAGAAAAAAACATTTTCTAGTTATCTCTTGTAGCCTCGGAACTCAGTCAATATTTTTATGGAATTTCTTTTCCAATGTTTTTACTATACTATACTCGTATAACAATTGCAACTCACCACCTCCACTGAATGGTGGTGGATATTTGTTTTTGGAAGTCAAAGTTAAACATTAAAAACAATACTATGTTTACTACATGTTAGTCATTTTATAATTGAAGAGAAAAAATTGTTACAAATTGAGAATAGAAACAGAAGTCAAGACCTTGTAAGTTATGAGACATAAACAGTTACCATTGTAAACAGACTTTCGCAAGCTAACCTCTACAAATAGTTGTTAACACACCTAAACAAAGGTGTAGTAGTACTATTACTGATTGTCCATATTCTTCTGTAACATAATTCCAAATATAACATCTCCAATTCCAACAGAAATGGAACAAATTTTGAAAAATATTTATTTGCCACAAATAAATCAACGCGACCCATACCTGCAATTCACTCCCAACAAACGTTCCACATTAAAGGTAGCAAATAAATCCCAGTGACGTAACAATTGGGTAACAGTGCGTCCTACTAATTGAATTAGCAACCGTGATCCGGGATGGCAGGATTTTCGGCCTACTCACTATTTAACTGGCTTTGTGAAATGTGGTTTTATACCCTGAGATTGTTCAAGGAAATGACTGGGCAATTTTGGGCTAGGCTTAACGTTGGATTGCAGGTTGGTTGGCAGGTTAGTGAAATGTTAGTTAAATCTAGACAAGATTTATGTAGAATGGTTTTAGAAGCATTTTACATAGCTTGGTCCAGCCACCGAAATCCTTGTAGTATCTTTACTTAGGGAGCTTATTCAGTACATAATCACATTATAACAATGCATATAAGAACACATAAAAATAAAAAAGTTAGGCATTTTCAAAATTATTAGCTGTTTGTGTCTGACAACACTAGATCCTGTACTGTCTGAGTCTCGGATCCTTCCGTATATTAGGTACTTCATTTAGTAACGGATCTTCAATTGAACGCTGTCAGTAAATGTGTACAAGACTACAAATTTTAGATTTTGCTTATGTTGATATTGCCATATTCTGAAAATACAGACAGTAAGTACAAAATTAAGTTCACGCTGCAAAAATTTTAAGAAAACTTTTACCATCGAGGAGACGAAACATTTATTCATCAGTTTAGTAACGTAAAATAATTTGAATCGGTATAGCCTTTGAACTAAGCACTTCCAATTGCTTATTTTTAAAACCATTTTTGAAACTGGTTACGTGACCAAACTGCCGCTTTTATCACAAAATATTTATAGGTAATGAAACGAAATTTTATGATTTCATTTTTATTGGATTAAATGTTAAGATGACTGGATACTCCGTTTAACTTCCTTCTTTCTGTTTTATGTTGACGGATTTGAACGACCTGGTGAGTATAATAGATTAGTATAGTTATCGATTAGACTATTGAAATTAACTGTAAAATAATGTTTAATATAATGGCTGTCAGCGTGGTATAGTAGGCCAAAACCTCCTATTTAAGAAGAGGCTTATGTCCAGCAGTGGACTATTAAAGGCTGTTGATGATGATGATGATGATGATAATGGCTGTAACTAACTTTTGTGTTTTATTAATACAAGTGTAATACACGTTATGTGTTCAGTTCCCCTATTGATTAAAATCTCTGTAGACTTTGGTGATTAGATATTTATTTAGGAACCAAGGAAAAAGAGTTTTTTAACAACATAATCAGATAATAATGAATCATAATCATAATGAAAATACACTGTAGTGGTAATTACAGTGTGTTTTTATTTTATGTTATGTGTTAAAATACATCTAAAAAGTAAGTGTATGACTACGACATCTTTAAGCAAATAGGACTTTGATACCTTTGTTGTAACGTCTAAACCTCCTTGAATTCGATTTTGCTTGATTTTTTGGTTTTTGACGTAATCTAAAAAGGCATAAAATTCATTTAAAGCCAACCAGCATTTGAAAGTCAGGAAAGCGAAGTGTCTAAAGTAAGAATTGTGCTAGCCTATGATATAGGGGGCAAGCGAGCAAACGGGTTACCTAAAGGCAAATGACTACCACCGCTCATTAATGCCTGCAAGTCAAGTAACAGCTCCCTACCAAGCTGTGGTATCACTCTGGACGAGTCGGCGCATATGTACCTAAACTGGTTCTCTCACGAAAAACAATACTTGCTTACTAAAACTATATCCAAATCTGTGACTCAAAACTTACAACGATCTTAGAATATTTCTTATTGGCTGTAGTGGATCAGGACGATCGTTTCGGGTTTTGTCCACAAACACTTCCTCACTGGTACTATCAGAATCGTCAAAAACATTTCTTAAAACGTGAACAAAGGCATCATCGCTGATTTTATTTCCTTCATCTCCTTTTACTTTTTTCAATTCTTCAATAAGCTGTTCAGTTACATTATTCTGTGTTTTTTTTTGTTTTTTAGATTGGAATAAGTTCAATAATTTTGATTCTGCCCTTTTGTGACTCTCTGGTATAAATGCTAAATCTCTAAGTTCAATACCATTATTACCACGATCTCGTATTTCAAATATTTGTATTTTTGGAGCCTTGCGAGCTTCGATGGAAGCAAAAATAAGAAAAACTGCAAATAATGGAGACAACATGGATTAAACATATCTAAATTTTACTTTAAGAAAACGTCAGCAATTTTCAACTGAAGTCTGCTTTAAATGGTTATTATAAAAAGAAGACAAAATTAATAAAAACTTTAAAAAGATATAGTGATTTATATGAAATACATTGATTTAATTTTAGTTTGTCATTATGTATAGTTATATATACAGATAACACTTTCATTATGGGTTATAGATATTATAATGGTTAATTAGATAAAATAGTTATGGCGAAGATAGCTTTAAACATGGCGAATTCTACAGGTTTCTTTTTATTCACAAATATTATATTTAAAACGGAGAATATTAGCAAAATTTTAATTTTATCTATAGACGAGAATCGTATTCTAAGGAAAATCAGACCAGATTAGCTAAGTATCAGGTACAAATACTGAGTAAAAATAAATAAGTCTTAGTTACCTGTACCGTACAAGAAGTTCATGATATATTCTTAACAAAACAAAGACGAAAAGGGAGCATTGGAATCAATAAAACTTCAGTTTTTTATGTTCGTTTTATGTGGAACCCGACATTTATCTATCGTATTGAATATTGGTAAATCGTAAATTTGGAAATTTCATTTCTTTTATTGTTTTCCGATTGTATACGTTATTACTATTAACTCGATTTTTTATATCAATCTTTATATAAATAAATGTAACATAAACGTTGCTGGTGCTGGTATAGCTATGTGTAGCAGTATCTATAAATTAATAGTACTTGATTTTAAAGGCTTTGAGGTCTAATACTGCCTACCCTTTTGGAGATAGAGATTTGACTGTATGTATGTGTGATATCATCGATATTTTACTGGTATATTTATTCTACGCCGTTTTTAAATCATATACGCTCTGTAACATTTTGTTTTTGTAAGGTTTTGCAAACGCATTATTTATAAACATTTGGAATTAAAAGAAGTCAACCAAAAGCGGTATCCGAACATAATACAATATGTGTGAAGTGCAAGTGACTACTTCAAAAAGCCCTGCTACTAAACATTTAAAATACTCTTCAGTCAATTATATGTTGCCTCTGGACTGATCACATTCACAATTGAAAAAAGGTTTAATAGTTCTAGTTTACTGCTGTCCTATGTAAAGTCGATCAATTCTCTGTTACGGCACTCGAACTCCACTAAAATAATTCTGTGATTTACCTCCTTCCATTGGGTACTTATGACTTTATATTCAACCTCTTCAAATTCTAAGTATGACTACTCTCATATCTATAAATCTTCCATAGTGTCATACCTAGGACCCCTACTCTTAATATTATATCATAAATCTTCCAATATCTGACTATACCTGTCTCGCGTTACTGAAGTGTTTATGGCTTCCGAAGTACTTCTCAAGACATTGAAACGCTTTTATCTTTAGATATTTGATATTTTCATCGTGTTGTTTAAGTATTTAATTTGTTCCCGTAATAAATATATATTTATACTTAGACGATTGAATGTGGAATTGTTTTAGAAAATATCTCATTAAGTTATGGGATTTATTATAAAGTTTGGTTTCAAAATTTAAAGACATACTGGTCATTCAATAGCTTTAAGTTAAACATGTGGATGCATCAAATAATTGAGAGCTCCACAATTATTACTTCTATTAGTATTTTTTTTAAACCCGAGCAAAGAAATTATTGAAAAATATAAACTTTTGATTTTATTTCGCATAGTCTACAATCCGGCTCGAAGGACATATAGGAATACATTTTTACATTAAATACTAATATTGTTGTTCTAAGCGTTTATTGAACACTAAAAATCAATACATAAAGTCTTTGATAAGTAAGAGTTCGTACAATAGCCCTTTTTGCACATTGGTACACTCTAAGCCATAGAATTGATCGTATATATTTATATTATTGTTACCACTTATGGTTTACTGTTTAACAATAATAACTCAGACAATTTTGCTGGTCTGCATTTATTTAAACTTGTTTTATTATCGCTAGTACTAATTATAAAGAAGTTCCAAGATCCAACTTTTAAGTCGCGGTGACAAAGATTTAATTTATTAAACTTAGCTATCTTGAACGCAGTTTCTACAAGTTAGCTAGCAAAGTCGCCGCTGGGAGCTCGAACATTCAACTCCTATCAGTATTTTGTAAAAAAAAATTGCTGCTGAGGTAAAATAAATAAATGTAACTGTCACTCTAAACTTAAGACTTTTAATGACCCACAGTCATATATCAAGTTTCATCTCATCGTAATCCCAACATCTGGTCTGGTCGATTAATGCTCTTGGACCGATTTGTACAGGGAGTACAAGGGCGTAGCTTTCATTCAGCTAGTAAAATCTACTTTTAAAATTTTACCGTAGGAGAGTCATATGATACTTCGGGCTCACAGAAAAGGGTATTAAGCAATTCCTTTGTTGATTTTCACTGAGTGAGAGAGGCTTCAAAGTTCAAAAAAGTTCTTATATCGATTAGCATAAATACAACTTTCCAACATCAACCGTGAAGTCGCGACCAGCCAGGCATTGATCACCTAGTAAGAGGATAATCCCTGACATGACACCTGTAACCTAACTGACTTGACTGTTTCAAAAGGTTCCATTAAGTGAAATAATATTAAATATGTAAATCATGATCAACTTTGATGTATGGCTAGAGGTGTATTGAAGAGGGTGAGGCAAGATTAAGGGAGGAAATTCTCCATAATTTACATAAGCGGATTAATGATCGGAGTGTGATTTTATTAGCATAATCCAGGTAGTTTATACAAGGAACCCGCCGTACTTAGTGATATGTTACGTAGTTTTAAACAAAAATAAATTTTAAATACATCTTCAAGACATCAATGTGGAGTTCCAGTTACCTGTTGTAGAGTTTTTCTTCCTCCTCTTCCTTGAGTTGATCACCTGATGACTGATGATGAGTAACTACCGTTGCTCATGGACATTTAAGAGTAAGTAATAAGTGCATAGCCGGCCCTTACCTTCACGGGTATTTTTTTATTAAATTTTCTAATAAAAGTTTTCCCAATCTAGACACAACTGGTTAATAAGAACATTCAAATGCCTTCACTAAGATAAGCTCAATATTGTCTTTAGAAGCTCGAACCATTCTAAAATTTATTACTCTATAGTCTACAATAGCTCAACAAATAAAGCAATATCTTTTAAAAGCTTTCTCCTGTTCGAAGCATTGTCAGGAATGTTGACAAATATCCCCTGCCACTAGAGTAAGAACGATTTGATTTCACTCTCGAAGTGGAATTTATTAGAACGGAGTAGTTGAGTTCGTCTAATAAAGCTTTAAGTGATACTAACAAGTTTTTCATCAGTCAATTGTACTTGTTTATGGATATTTCAACTTTGCTAGCTACCTGATTGTTTTCTGTTATTTACTGGTTTATAACAAACTTGTACTCATGAGTTATTCAATTTGTCGTTTTTACGTTAGTAGTTTTTTTATTATGTTAGTTAGTTTGTGAACTGAATTGGAAACTTAACTTTTTTATTGGGGTAAAATACCCTAGAGTTCCCGTTAAAATCTTAAGCAAATTTGAAGAATAAATACCACTCCTAAGGGTAGAAAATTAAGGATTGAAGAACACAGTTTACTGCCCATCTAACGATAAGAGGAGAAGAGTACCAGAGTGATCCAAATTTCCTGACAGCAACCAATTTGAATTACATGTATATATCCATCAATATAAACACTATTATTTTCCTTAAACTACAATTCTTGCCTATTTTTGCATTTAATATACTTTTTTTCTTATCGAATTCTTAGTGGCCATTTAATGGCAACAGACTTGTTCCCTACATAAGTGGCACATAAATTGGCATAATTGGCAAAATGTAGCCATGTTAATATACCTCAGCCTACCCCTTGGTCTATGAGTATAATGGACCGACCAAGTAGAAGACCAATCATTCCCCAATTTTTATACAATCTTGAGAGACGCGATGGACAGGAACCAGTGGAGAGAGATCATCCGCTTCAGATGCAATTCCGGTGCTGACTCCCATCCCCAAACATGCAGGACCGACCAGAGTCTAGAGAGTATGTTTATGTATGTATCGTGAATTATTGTATGAAGATACAAATGAGAACTACTGAGCAACAAACAGTCCCCTTTATTAAACAAATGAAAACATATGCTTTATTAATATCGTGGGACCGTGTAGCAGATGTGTACTTATGTGTTTAACTTTGGTTACAGAATTAGTATCTAATGTTTGTTCAGGATCGTTTGATAAATTTGTATCAATGTTGGGTATACGGATTAAACTTAGTTTTTAATTAACCCATAGGGGGTCTTCAATTTTTGTTACTTAGTTTAATATTGGAGATATGGAGATCATATTATTTAAGTGGAACTCGTCTATGAATGTTTTGTATATTTAATGTTGTGTGTATATTTAATGTAGATAGTGTGTGTGTTTGTGAATATTTAATATAACCTTCATATGTGTTTTATTTTGGAGATGTGATCCTTTTCAACGAATTCATTTATTTATTTAGTAGTAATCACATTTTATCCCTATTCATCCCGTGGGCGTCGTAAGAGCCGACTTAGGTAAAAAAACAACGCAGTACAACAGCCCTGCAGAGAGAAGGAAAACTTGACACAAACCCTATACCAACCCGTCTGGCCAGCGTGGTATAGTAGGCCAAAACCTCCTTTCTAAGGAGAGGTTTATGTCCAGCAGTGGATTGTTAAAGCCTGTTGATGATGATGACATTTTATCCTAATGTTTTAGGTTGTGTTTCAATATCAAGTCACAAAATACGTGACAACAATTCCTTCGAAACTTTTTACCGAGTGAGTAAGGTTACCGAAGCCTAAACCTGGAATTTGGAATAAGGGGCAAGTCCAAGAATTCTGCTGAAGCTGAGAAAGTTGAAAAAGAAAAAGAAATAATATATTTAGATTTATCTTACTATTTATTTATCTCGACTGCACGGATGGCATAGTGCTTTAAGCACTCACCTCGCCGCTTTCTACTGCGCTGAGTGTTGTGGGTTCGATCTCC